CTCGCTCCCCTGGAGCCTCCAACCCCGGGTGCGCCCGCCTCGGGAGCTCTCCGAGCGGGATCCGGCCGTGGCGACGACGAAGAGCCCCCCTCGGAGGCCCGGGACCCGGCCCCGAAGCCCCGAACCCTCCACCTCTCGGCCCTCGAGGCCCTCGGCCCTCATCGGAGGCTCCCGACCGCAGCCCCGGCCTGCGCCGCGCGCGGGGGCCGCCGCCCTGGCCGGGAGGCCCGCCCGAGGCGGGGCCCTCCCCGCGGCCCGCGCGCCCCGGGTGGGCCTCGGCCCCGGGCCTCGGCCGACGGCGACCTCGACCGCGGAGCCCCGGGCCCCCCGGGCGGCGCGCCACCCGCGGGGCCCGCGGGAGCCCCGCGCAGAGGGGGTGCGGCTCTGCGGTGCCCGCGCCGCGCCGCCTCGTCCGCCTCCCCGGGGCGCCGGTGCGCTGCTTGTTTTGAGTCGGGCCCGTCCCTCTATACTCCCTAAGGGCTTGTCGACTTTTCGCCGATCGACTTGTGGGGAGCGAGCCAGAAAAATCCAGGTAAATGCAGATAAATCGAGGTAAATCCAGATAAATCCAGGCAAATCGAAACAAATCCGGGTAAATCCAAAGATCTCCGAGGAAAGATGAAGCATCTCGCGGCCGCTCCAGCGCGAGTCGAAGGACGGCAGAAGTCGTTAAGCCTTTAACGATATACAGGGGGGGAAGTTCAGGAGCAGTCGAGGGAATAGTCCGGGCACGATTTTTGGGGGGCTATTTTTTTTGGTGCTTCGGGTGTCTTTTTGGAGTGCGCTTCACTCTTCGCCCAGAGTCCCTTGGCAGGGGGACACGCCCGACTTCATGCTTGCTGCAGATGAGGCCAGCTCGTGTTCCCGAAAGGATCTCGCGCGGCCGCCCTCGTCTTCTTCCCTCCCCGTGCACGCCAGCGAATTCGCCTTTCGGTTGCCCCGAGCAGCGGCACGCCTGAGCGGACTGCCTCTGCCTCGCCGCCGACGGAAGAGTTCCAGGAGGGGGCTCGCTTCCGAGGATCGAAGAGTTGCTATCTCTTCCACGGCGGAAGGCGGCGGAAGTAGAACGACGGCGGCTCGGCCCGCAGAAGTGAATTTGCCTGGCGAAGGACCCAGCCACATGCAGCTGCGAGTGCCGCATTGTGGGTACCTTTTTCGGTGGAGCTCCCCATGGGGCCACGAAACGTGCGAGGGGTGCGCCGAAATCGGTGGCGTTGACGCATGTGGACACCGCCACTGGAGCCTTCGGTGGAGCTTTCTATGGGGCCACGAAACGCTGTCCTTCCTGTCTGGGAGAGACGCAAGCGAACTGCGCCATTGAAACCCTCGTTGGAGCTCCCTATGAGGCCACGAAACGCTGTCCTGGGTGGGGGCGACGCAAGCGAACTGCGACATTGGGACCTTCGGCGGAGCTCCCTATGGGGCCACGACGCGTTGTCTTGGATGGGGGAGACGCATGCGAACGGTGCCACTGGGGCTTTCGGTGGAGCTCCCTATGAGGCCACGAAACGCTGTCCTGGGTGGGGGAGACGCATGCGAACGGTGCCACTGGGGCCTTTAGTGGAGCTCCCTGAGAGGCCACGAAACGCTGTCCTGGGTGGGGGAGACGCATGCGAACGGTGCCACTGGGGCCTTCGGTGGAACTCCCTATGGAGCTCTCTATGAGGCCACGAAACGCTGTCCTGGGTAGCGGTGACGCATGAGGACCTTGCCACTGGGGCCTTCGGTGGAGCTCCCTGTGGGGCCACGAAACGCTGTCCTGGGTGGCGTTGACGCATGCGGACCCTGCCAATGGAGCCTTCGGTGGAGCTCCCTGTGGGGCCACGAACCGTTTGAGGGGTGTGCCTAAAAGGGTGGCGCTGACGCGTGCGGACCCTGCCACTGAAGCCTTCGGTGGAGCTCCCTATGGGGCCACGAAGCGTTGTCCTGGGTGGCGTTGACGCATGCGGACCCTGCCACTGGACTCTTCGGTGGAGCTCCCTGTGCGGCCACGATCCGTGTGAGGGATGTGCCTACATGGGTGGCGCTGACGCGTGCGGACCCTGCCAATGGAGCCTTCGGTGGAGCTCCCTATGAGGCCACGAAACGCTGTCCTGCGTGGCGTTGACGCATGCGGACCTTGCCAATGGAGCCTTCGGTGAAGCTACCTATGGGCCCTCGAAACGCTGTCCTGGGTTGCGTTGACGCGTGCGGACCCTGCCACTGGAGCCTTCCGTGGAGCTCCGTTTGGGGCCACGAAACGCTGTCTTGGGTGGCGTTGACGCGTGCGGACCCTGCCATTGGAGCCTTCGGTGGAGCTCCCTATGGGGCCACGAAGCGTTGTCCTGGGCGGCGTTTACACATGCGACCCCTGCCATCGGAGCCTTCGTTGGAGCTCCCTATGGGGCCACGAAACGCTGTCCTGTGTGGCGTTGACGCATGCGGGCCCTGCCACTGGAGCCTTGGGTGGAGCTCCCTATGGGGCCACGACACGTTGATCTGGGTGGCGTTGACACATCCTGCGGATCTCGGGTTGGGTTGGCTCTCTCAGCTTTCCCTCACACAGTTCTGCACGTGGTGCCTCTCGTCCTGAGGGCGTCTGCGGGGTGCCGAGGGCCTCTGCACCTCGCAGACCCTCAGCTCGGGACGATCGAAATGGGCACGGAAAGAATGAGTATGATGCCCAACAGCAGTCCCTGCTCACTTTGAAGCAGACTCGCTGTCCGCGCCGTCGCGGACGCTGTTCCTTGAAGACAAAACAGCCGCCTGCACGACAGCGGCCGTTGTCAGTTTGGGACAACATTTATTATTGGGCATTGTACACATCTGTCGCTGAAAGTAAGGAGTTTTGAACTCCCCGATCCCAATCTACGTAAAGCGCCTTCCTACTTCGAGAATCGATATGCTTTCGCTGTTTGTTATTCTCTGGGAGGGCCTGGACCAAATCCACCCCAGCCGCCGTCCTACTTCATGGCTTACCCGCTTCTTCCGACCGACGTGCACCCCTTTTTTTCTTATCCGCACCCATCTCGGACGTCCAGATCAGCACAAGGCCTCGGGGAAGGCTTTCTCGGAAGGTTCGGAAGTCCCCCAGCATTCGGAGAAGTTTCCTAAGCCTTCCCGAAGACGCCGAAAACTTCTCAGAAGGCGCGAGGGTTTCTGAGAAGCCCCACCGCCTTCTGAGAGGGCCTTTTCCTTCTCACTTCCCCCCCTCGCTTGCCGCCGAGTCTTGTGGCCATGGCCTCTGGGGCCGCCCTCGGCTGCCCTAAGCCCGAAGAGGCGAGAACGCGAAAATGGTTGAGAAACGAAAAGAGCTTAATGACTTGGGCCTCCAAGCACGCAAGGGCCTCGGGGTGGCCTCTGGAGGTCTCCGCAGAGCTACAGCGTGCTGAGCAAGAACTCTGCGGTGATTTTCCCTCTGCAACCACGTGCGAGCCCTACCCTATGGATCAAGTCGACGCTGGGGTATCGAACACCCCCGCTGGGCTTCACTTAGCTGCAGCCATCCCTCAAAAATTCTGAACCCAGCCAGTTGTTCAGAAGTCTGGCCTGCAGGGGCAGGGTTCACATGTGGTTACATATTTCTGTTGTGGTTGAAGTTGTTCAACGCGGTAGTCATGCCAACCGCAGCTGTTGGCATAGTTACTATTGCTCTCACCCAGCAGCAGCGTGACAGAAAAGCATCAACGCGCATGCAGATGTTGCGCAAGCTTAGTTTTGATGTTTGCAAACGTCCAGCAGAGTCATGGGAGAACGCTGGCAGACGGTGCAAGGAAAAAGTAAAGCATGCAATTTCAATTCTGAATGTTCTGGATTGGGTTGCGTGCATCGACCGTGCACGTTGGCGGTTCTTGGCCAGAATGGCAGCGCATCCGTGCACCTGGCCGCGCTGGGTGTTAGCGTGGACCCCGCAAATGTGTTTCGACGACGCGGTCGTCCAAAAACCCATTGGAACAGCATTGCTTCTGACTTCTTGCAAAACAGCGAAAGGTTGTTTTTAGCACAAGAATTCTGGAAGTTGTCACGGTTGAAGTGGTTTATTATGGAAATCATGTATGTCGAGTGCATGAGTAATTGATTTCCCGTCGCCCTCCCTTTCACCGCCCCTTCCTTCTTCCCTCCTCCCTTCCCCTCCCCTCAAGCACTGCATCACAAAGTTTGAATACCTCAGCATCCATCGTGCGTTTAAGTCCAGCTTGCCGTGTTTAAACGAACGCGAGCGTTGCTCGTCACGACAACGCCTGTTTCAATTATCGTGTTTTTACTAGTGAGGCGTAACGCTTTGCGTCCGATCGGATTTTTGTTGCACGGCCTCTCTTGGGGTTCCGGGCCCGGGGATCATCACCAAACAATTCGGGATGAACAGTTGGCCCAGGGGGAGGGATCGAAAGCCTCAGTGGCCATCAGCCAGAAGACTTGAGTTGCCACATCCCTTGTTGCAGCGACCACTGTCGTTTTGTACAGGCCCTTTTACCTGATCGCCTGGGCTTGCTGCGCGGACCGCATCCTTGATGCTCGTGGCAGGCGCCGCTGTGTGCAGCGAGGGGGAGGAGTTCGACGAGCCGTCGGCGAATGCATTGGCGGGAAAATAACGATGACGGAGGAGGAGACTGATGATGACGGAAGATCAGTCGGGGCCCTGAAGAAGGAACCCTTTTCGTTGGGGAGGGGCTCCGTGTTCCTTGATTGTTTCACAGCTTGCCTTAGGTTTTCCTTAGATTTTCGATGGGAAATCGAACTTTAACTGATGGGAAAAGGGGGCCTCGTTCCTTATTTAGCGTTCCTTAGGTCAACGCCCCCACTGTAGTGCAATCCCTTCTTCTCTCCTCATTGTGTGTTCAGTTCCCCCTCCCCCCCGCTGCCCCCGCGCGCGGGAGCGCGCGCAGCGAGGCCCGTCGACGTCAGGAGCAGGACAAGGAGAAGCGGGGCATTGGTCGATGTCACCGCAGCATCTGCAGGGGAGGCGCGGCGTCGCCCAAGACCGGGCAAGATTGTTGAGCCGCCTCTCCCGCCACGCGCAGGAGGGAGACCTGGACCGAGCGCTGGAGCTGATACGCGACGGCGACGGCATTGGCATGGCGTACAAGTTGGCCGAGAAGTTTTCCAGAAAGGCGTCCGAGATTGTTCAGTCGCAGGGAAAAACATATCCATATCCGCGGCCTCGCGGGCCGGGCCCGTGGACCGCGACCCCGCGGATACAGGGCGTGTTTGCTTCGCGGATTCCCCGCGCGGAACGTATCCGTGCGACCGCGTATCCGCGGGATCTCACCCCGGAATCCAGGCCGCGAGGGCTCGGATATGGATATGGATACGCTCGCAGCGCGTGAGCACAGGGAGGAGTAGATGGGGGTGATGAGGGAAAGGGAAAGGGAAAGGGAAAGGGAGGGCAAAAGGAGAGGAGGAGTAGATGGGGGTGATGAGGGAAAGGGAAAGGGAAAGGGAAAGGGAGGGCAAAAGGAGAGGAGTGGAGCCAGAGGAGTAGGGAGGGGAGGGGACGGCGAGGCGATATCGAGGCAGGGTGAAAGCGAGAAGGACGAGAAGGAGGGGGGAGGAGGACGGAGGAGGCGGACGGGAGCAGATCTGGAGGAGGAGGGAGGACGAGGAGGAGAGAGAGGGAGGGTGAGGAGTAAGAGGAGTAAGAGGAGTAAGAGGATTAAGAAGAGTAAGAGGAGTAAGAGGAGTAAGAGGATGAGGAGAAGGAAGAGGAGGAGGGGGAGGAGGAGAGGACGGAAAGGAGGGGGGCAGCAGATCAGAAGGAGGAGGGCGAGCATGGGCAAGAGGAGGAGGAGGAGGAGGAGGAGGAGGGCGAAAGCGACAGGGTCCATTAGGATCATCCCTGGGCCCGCTGCCGTTGCTGCTGCTTTGGCGCGCGGCCTTGACAAGATATTGAATACCCCCCCTCCTCTTCCACAAGGGCGCGCAGTCCCGAGGGAATCCCTTCCTGACCCATTCCGCAGCCCCTTGGCTCAACGAGCTCGAGAACAGAACCAATGGGGAAAGCAGGAGAGGTACCCCCCTCTCCCCCGTCATCCTCCTCCTCATCATCACCGTCCTCCTTGTCCATCCTCCCCTCCCTCTTCCCTCCTTCATGCCCTCACCAGGACATCCCCAGGGGCTCCAAACGGAGCGAGGCCCATGACGTACCCTCTCGCCAGGTTGCTTGCCCGCCCTCAGCATCCTTGCTGATCATAGTCGCATGCTGATTCAATGTCCCTATCGAGTCAAACAAGAAAAAGCCTCCATGCCCCTCCCCTCCTCCATCCTCCTCCTGGACCAAGGTCCGCTCGAAGTCGTTCCCTTCATTGTTCCCGGGAGCCGAATCCAGAGGCCCAGACAGTTGGAGAGCCACGTTGGGAAATATCCGCACGAAAGGCCCAGAAAACGCTTTCGGTGGAGCTCACTGCGGGGCCACGAAACGCGAGAAGGGAGCGGCGGGGCCGCCATCCGGGCATTGTCGCTGGGGCCGCCCGCCGTAGGCGCGGAGGTCGGGCGGAACGGGTCACATGCTGATGCAACACATTGCGGCTGACAGGCACCAGGAGGAACGGGAGGGGAGAAGACATGCGGGCGCGGCATGCGAACGCAGCCATTGGGGCCTTTGGTGGAGCTCCCTGTGGGGCCCACGAAACGTGTGAGGGGTGTGCCAAAGTGAGGGGGGGCGGCGTGCGAACGCATCCACTGGGGCCTTCGGTGGAGCTCCCCATGGGGCCACGAACCGTGTGATGGGTGTGCCAAAGTGAGGGGAGGGGGCGCGGCATGCGAACGCCGCCACTGGGGCCTTCGGTAGAGCTCCCTGTGGGGCCACGAAACTTGTGAGGGGTGTACCAAAGTGAGGGGGGCGGCATGCGAACGCATCCACTGGGGCCGTCGGTGGAGCTCCCCATGGGGCCACGAAACGTGTGAGGGGTGTGCCAAAGTGAGGGGGGACGCGGCATGCGAACGCAGCCACTGGGGCTTTCGGTGGAGCTCCCTGTGGGGCCACGAAACGTGTGAGGGGTGTGCCAAAGTGGGGAGGGGGCGCCATGCGAACGCAGCCATTGGGGCCTTCGGTGGAGCTCCCTGTGGGGCCACGAAACGTGTGAGGGGTGTGCCAAAGTGAGGGGGGAGGGGCATACGAACGCAGCCACTGGGGCCGTCGGTGGAGCTCCCTATGTGGCCACGAAACGTGTGAGGGGTGTGCCAAAGTGAGGGGGGAGCGGCATGCGAACGCAGCCACTGGGGCCTTCGGTGGAGCTCCCCATGGGGCCCACGAAACGCGTGAGGGGTGTGCCAAAGTGAGGGGGGGCGGCATGCGAACGCAGCCACTGGGGCCGTCGGTGGAGCTCCCTGTGGGGCCACAAACGTGTGAGGGATGTGCCAAAGTGAGGGGGGACGTGCATGCGCGGCAACGCAGCCACTGTGGCCTTCGGTGGATCCCTATGGGCCACGGTGAGGGTGTGCCAAAGTGAGGGGGCCCATGTGGGGCCTTCGGTGGAGCTCCCTGTGGGGCCACGAAACGTGTGAGGGATGTGCCAAAGTGGGGAGGGGGCGCCATGCGAACGCAGCCGCTGGGGCCTTCGGTGGAGCCCCCTGTGGGGCCACGAAACGTGTGAGGGGTGTGCCAAAGTGAGGGGGGGCGCGGCATGCGAACGCAGCCACTGTGACGTTCGGTGGAGCTCCTTATGGAGCCACGAAAAGTGTGAGGGGTGTGCCAAAGTGAGGAGGGGGCGCGGCATGCGAACACAGCCACTGGGGCCTTCGGTAGAGCTCTTTGTGGGGCCACGAAACTTGTGAGGGTGTGCCAAAGTGAGGGGGGGGAGGGGGGGCATGCGAACGCATCCACTGGGGCCTTCGGTGGAGCTCCCTGTGGGGCCACGAAACGTGTGAGGGGTGTGCCAAAGTGAGGGGAGGCATGCGAACGCAGCCACTGGGGCCTTCGGTGGAGCTCCCTATGGGGCCACGAAACGTGTGAGGGGTGTGCCGAAATGGGTGGTGGGCGGCATGCGAACGCAGTCACTGGGGCCGTCGGTGGAGCCCCTATGGGGCCACAAAACGTGTGAGGGGTGTGCCAAAGTGGGGGGGGGAGGGCGGCATGCGAACGCAGCCACTGTGGCCTTCGGTGGAGCTCCCCATGGGGCCACGAACCGTGTGAGGGGTTTGCCAAAGTGAGGTGGGGCGCTGCATGCCAACGCAGCCACTGGGGCCGTCGGTGGAGCTCCCTGTGGGGCCACGAAGCGTGTGAGGGGTGTGCCAAAGTGAGGGGGGGGGCGGCATGCGAACGCAGCCATTGGGGCCTTCGGTGGAGCTCCCTGTGGGCCACGAAACGTGTGAGGGGGGTGCCAAAGTGAGGGGGCGGCATGCGAACGCAGCCACTGGGGCCTTCGGTGGAGCTCCCTGTGGGACCACGAAACGTGTGAGGGGTGTGCCAAAGTGAGGGGTGCTGCGGCATGCGAACGGAGCGATTGGGACTTTCGGTGGAGCCCCGTGTGGGGCCACGAAACGTGTGAGGGGTGTACCAAAGTGAGGGGGGGCGCGGCATGCAAACGCAGCCATTGTTACGTTCGGTGGAGCCCCGTATGGGGCCACGAAACGTGTGAGGGGTGTGCCAAAGTAAGGGGAACGGTGGCATTCGAACGCAGCCACTGGCGCTTTCGGTGGAGCTCCCTGTAGGGCCACGAAGCGTGTGAGGGGTGTGCCAAAGTGAGGGGGGGCGCGGCATGCGAACACAGCCATTGGGGCCTTCGGTGGTGCTCCCCATGGGGCCACGAAAAGTGTGAGGTGTGTGCCAAGGGAGGGGGCGGGCGGCATGCGAACGCAGCTGCTCGGGCCTTCGGTGGAGCTCCCGATGGGGCCACGAAACGTGTGAGGGGTGTGCCACAGTGAGAGGGGCCACGAAACTTGTGAGGGGTGTGCCAAAGTGAGGAAGGGCGGGCGGCATGCGAACGCAGCCACTAGGGCCTTCGGTGGAGCTCCCTGTGGGGCCACGAATCGTGTGAGGGGTGTGCCAAAGTGAGGGGGGTGGCGGTATGCGAACGCAGCCACTGGGGCATTCGGTGGAGCTCCCTATGGAGCCACAAAACGCATGAGGGGTGTGCCAAAGTGAGGGGGGTGACGGGAGAATGGAGGAGGAGAAGAGGAGGAGGAAGAGAAGGAGGCGCGGGGATTGTCTCCTCAAAACGAGGACCCAACACCACAGGATGGTTGGGAAAAAAACGACGTCGAATGCCTGGGCTTCCTTTCGAGTAGGGGACCGACTACAGGATTGATACGGCTGCCCACGGAAAGTCCCGCCACCATGCCTCATTTGTAGGTTCTAAGCCTAGTGGATGTTCGTTGGGATCTCGTGGGAAGCATTCTTGGAGGCAGGTCTGATGCCTCTTGGGGACCGTTTCGGGGCCTCTTGCGAGCCTTTTGGGGGCCTCTTGGGGCCTCTTGGGAGCCTCTTGGGGCCTCTTGGGCGCCTCTCGGGACCTCCTGGGGGCCCCTTGGGGCGGAAGGCTCGAATTTTCGGTTCGTCTTCCCTCCCTGGGGCCCTTTTGGAGGTCGTCTTGGGGCCCTCTTGGGCAATTTTGGGCGCCTCTTTGGCCGTCTTGGGGCGCTCGGAGGCTGTCGTGGGGCCCTCTTGGAGGCATCTTGGGCCGCTTTGGGGTGGTCTTGGGGGCCTCTTTGGCCGTCTTGGTCGAGGAGGGAATCGACTACAGAACTGATTTACACCAAAATTGCATCTTTCGTCGAATCTAGGAAAAATCACTTCAAATCTGCCGTAGATCTACCGAATTTACGCATGTTCCGCAGGCTCGACGGACACATCAATTCTGGGGTAAGTCGATTCTGCAGTCGATCTCCTGCTCGATCCCCCCGCCCCGGCCGCTCAACAGAACTCTGCCCCCAGACTTGGCCCAGAGAGGTCCGCAGACGCCCAGGAAAGCTGGATGGGCCCCTGCCGGGAGCCCGTCATCGCCACTCTCTCATTCCGATCGGTCTCTGACGCTCCCAGGCCCGAACCAACCCGCAGGGGCCAAGGTTGACGAGTGCATGCAGCACCCCGCAAGTGAGCGACCGAAAAAAATCAGGATCGTTTGCGCTGATATTGGCGCGTAAGCTTCCCGCGTAAGGTAGCGCGTGAGCGCCCTCGTTTCCAATGCAGCGGGCCGCGCCAGCGGCCCGCGTAAGCCACCACGTAAGGTCGCCGGGCCATCTCGCGTAAGACCCGTTCTTAAAACGATCAATTGCGGATAAGAGTGAGGGGGCGGGTGCGGGGTGGGTCGCGGGTGGGTCGCGGGTGGGTCGCGGGTGGGTCGCGGGGTGGGTTGCGGGATGGGTCGCGGGTGGGTCGCGGGTGAGACGACGACAATAAAACAAAACAAAATAAAGCAACAAGAGTCCGCAGTGCGGGAACCCACTTCAACCACGCACCCAGGGACAGTGTAAGACCGTTCGGCCCCCTCACTCTGATTACGCTTTTCTAGTTTCGAACTTCATCCCCCCTCCTCGTCCCCCCTCTTCGTCGCCTTGACGAATATATTGTCCCGAGTCGAGGGTTCACCGCCCGCACCCCCCCCACCCCCATCCGATGGGATGGGCCCCAGGGTTCCACAGGCCCCCCCCTCCCCTCCCCTAATCGGACGGGGGGCGACGCCGACGCCGACGCCCCCAGGCCCGAACGAACCCGCAGGGGCCAAAATTGACGAATCTATATATATATATATATATATAGATATAGATATAGATATATATATATATATATATATATAGATATAGATATACATACAAGACTGCATTGGCGCTTCGCGCCATGCACCTTGGCCCATAAAGTTCGGCATGCAGGCGGGATGGCAGGAAGGTCAAGCCGGCAATTTAGCGATAACTCTTTGTTGCCTTTTCTGGCATCGTCGTTATCATAATGTTATTCGTTACCCTTCCTCAATGCTTCTGCTTCTTCATTCTCGCCATACCCTGCGCATTCTCCCCATCCTCCTCAGTTCTTTTTTGCGGAGGATCCTCCTTGGAGAGCCTCTGGGGGCCTCACAAAACTTCTCATGCTTTCTCAAGGCCTTTTGGAGGCCTCCTGGGCGTGTTCTGGGGTCCTTTGGGGGCTTCCTCGGGCCACCCTGCCTCCAACCACGGTCTCCCTGAATGACTGGGTCACGATTTGGAATGCTTCAGAGCGTGTCTTCAGGCCATCTTGGGCCGCCATGGGGCACTCTTAGGGCCATCTTGGACCCCTGTTGTGCCGTTTTGGGGCTGTCTTGGACTGCCTGGAAGCCCTTTCGGATAGTTGTGGGGCGATTTTGCAGCCTCCCAGGCGGCTTCGGACGCCCAGAAGACCGCCGTCTTGGAGCGTCGGGAAGCCAAAAAGAGGACAACCCCAAAATTCACCAAAAACCAATGGAAAATCACAGATTCTTGCCTCTTGGGTCCTTCTTGGGAATGCTCTTGGATGCCTCTTGGGACGTTTCGGAGCGATCTTTGGGGGTATGACGGCTTCGGGAGCGCGCGCCGGAACGCCTGGAACCCGTCTGGGGCCGTGTTTGGGCGTTGGGAAGGCTTGGCGAAACGCCCTGCGAGGCCCGGGGGGCCGCTTCGAGGCCCGTCCGGAGGGTCCCAAAGCCCCAGATCCCGTGAGTCCGGTTTTAGGGGGGGGGGGGGGAGGGGTGTTCCCCCCGCCCGGGCTTACAAGAATATAGGAAGAGGAATATCTATATATATATATATACATATACATATACATATACGTATACATATACATACATACATACATACATACATACATACATACATACATGCATACATACATACATGTATACATACATATACACATACATACATACATACATACATACCTACCTACCTACCTACCTACCTACCTACCTACATACATACATACATACATACATACATATATAATACATACATACAAACATACATACATGCATGCATACATGCATACATACATATACATACATCCATGTATATAACTGTATATATACATACAAACATACAAACATACAAACATGCAAACATACAAACATACATACATGCATATATGCATACATGCATACATGCATACATGCATACATGCATACATGCATACATGCATACATGCATACATGCATACATGCATACATGCATACATGCATGCATACATACATACATACATACATATGTACATATGTACATACATACATACATACATACATACATGCATGCATGCATGCATGCGTGCATGCATGCATGCATGCATGCATGCATGCATATATGTATATATGTGTGTGTGTCGCCACGCCGTTTGTTCCGACGCGCGGCCCTACGCCTTGGGGAGGGCGCCGCAGCCACCAGGGCAAACGCCGCCTCGGACGCGGTGGGTTCGCCGTGGGTCTGCCGCGGTGCCAACGTCGTCTGATTGGGCGCGAGATGCAGGGTCTGCCGTGGGTTTGGCGTGGTATCGGCGTCATCCACTTGGACGCGTCGAGCACAACCGGCGCGGCGACATATGCTGTTCTAGCTTCGTATTTCCTCCCCCCTCCTCATCCCCTTCGTCGCCTTGACTTGTCCTGGAGTGCGCCCCAGACCTCTTCTGGAGAGCGCTCCAGGCGCAATCTCGAGTGGGACACGTCCGCGGCGAACGGAAGCCCCCAGGGGGTCTCGACCCGTTCTCCCCGGGGCAGACCTGCACCTCGAGCTGCCTCTTGACGGCTCCAGGGCCCCCGGATGTCGAAGACTTCCCCACATAAGCTCCGCCACATAAGCTCCGCCGTCAATTTCTGTCACGGTCGCGAGGGGTCCGAGGCCACGTTTCTCGTGGCCGTTTCTCTTTTGGGGAGAGGGTAACAAAAGATGGTTCTCGGTGAGGGTGAGAAGAGAGGGTAACAAAAGACGGTTTTCTCGCTTCCCGGTGGGGGTAACAAAGGATGGCTCTCGTGCGCCGTTTCCTGGAGCGAGCCGCGGCTGGAGCCTCGGGGCGGACTCCCCGGGCGTCCGATGTTCCCGTGTCCTCCGAGCCGTCCTGCGGTGTTGGCTCCTCGCTCTGAAGAGACAGCGCCCCGCGCCTCCTGTCCTTAAGTCGGGCAGGCCCCTCTACAGCAGGAGGATTCAAAGAACAGTCCAAAAAAACAGTCTGGGGACGCTGTTCGACTGCTTTTTACTATTGTTGAGTCTGTTTTGACTGCTTCCCATTTTTCCGCCCAATCCGCCTGTAGGAGGATATGCCCGACCTGATCCTATCCCGCCTCCCCCCTCCTCCCATCCCTGCTTCTGCCCTCCGCACGTCCTCATCGGCACACCCCTCACGAGGATCGCGGCCCCATATGGAGCTCCACCTCAGGCCCCAGAGGCACCGTCCACATGGTGGCGTCACGCCTGTTTCGGCACACACCCACACACACACACACACACACACACTTACGTCGGCGGCCAGGCAGAGCGATTACGGTGGCGGAAGACACACACACACACACATACAGACGCACTTGTAAGTCCGCGGCGCAGAGCGTCTTCAAGCGCGGGCAGCAGATGAAAGTGCGAATGTGCGATCGAGCACTGTCGAAGGCACGGTGCACAAGACGTCGCACACGGCAAAGTGCAAACGCAAGGTTGTGCACTAGATGGACTGCACACACACACACACCACACACACAGACACACACACACACACACACACACGCTTCGTGGCCGAATCGGGAGCTCCACCGAGTTTCTTACGAGCACGTCTTTGGGGGCCGAGCCCCCGGAGGCACAGAGAGCGGGGCGAGCAGCAGCGCCTCGAGAGCCCGCCCGCCCGCCCTTCGCCCGCCGCCCCTCGCGGCCGCGGCGAGAGGCCCTGCAGGCGCTGCCGCTCCTGGCCCCCTCCGACGGCGAGGCGCGGCGGGCCCTGGCCGGCCTCGCCGAGTGGGTGGTGAGGCGCTCCGTGTAGCGGGCGCGCTGGGCGCGCTGGGAGGAGGAGGAGGAGGAGAAGAGGAGGAGAAGGAGGACAAGAGGAGGAGGAGGAGGAGGAGGAGGAGGAGGAGGAGGAGGAGGAGGAGGGGGAGGGGGAGGGAGGGGGAGGGAAGGGGGAGGGATAAGCTAGGTGCGCTCGCGTCATATCTGACGTCCTACCCCTCCCTCCCATCCCTTACCATGGCGTAGATCCCCTCTCTATTCGCACAGTCGGATCTGGCAGCGTGGCATAGCATTACATGGCATAGCATGGTGTTGAAGATCAACGCGTAGCATGACATAGCATGGCGTGGCGACGCCCCAAAGTAGGGAGGCGCTTCTTCGGCCCCAAAAAACAACCGTATGTGTAATAATTTCCGATGTGTTTTCGGGGGGGTATTTTTTAGATGGTGGGGCCTAGTTGGAAGGGCCGAAAACCATACCGTGGCATGGCATTGGAAATAATGACGCCAACGCTGCAGCGGGAGCACGATTCGGAACGAGCAGAAGCGCGGAAATGAGGCCAGCGCTGCAGCGGGAGCACGATTCGCAACGAGCGGAAGCGCAGAAATGAGGCCAGCGCTGCAGCGGGAGCACGATTCGGAAAGAGCGAAAGCGCGGAGATGAGGCCAGCGCCTCAGCAGGAGCACCATTTTGGAGAAGAACCTTTTAAAAAACATAGATTTTAACAAATAGAATCTTGTGCGTGAAAACAATACGCGGAGGGGGGCCGAATATCTTCGGGGCGTCATCAGGGAAGAGTATTCATATTGTGCAATTCTGGAGGAGGCAGGAGGAGGAGGAGGAGGAGGAGGAGGAGGAGGAGGGAGGAGAAGAAGAAGGAGGAGGAGGAGGAGGAGGAGGAAGAGGAGGAGGAGGAGGGCGCGTTGGGCGCATTGGGGTGGGTGGTCTGGGCCTCCCAGATGCGGTCCGAGTAGATCGGGTCGGAGCATCGCGCCGCATCGCTGATGCATTGGCGATACGCGGCTCGGTTTGGAGCCTTGTATTCCCCACGCCGATGGCGCCGCTGCATCGCCGACGCGTCGCCGCTGCATCGAAGATGGATTGGCGATGCATCGGTGATGCGGAGCGATCCTCCGACCACCTCTTTTCAGGAGGGAAAAACACACAGACACAATGAGTCGTCGATTCCCAGGAAAATACCGAAGATATATGGAGTGGAGGGGGAGACGAACCTCCAGAAGACATGGAGCATATGGAGAACTCGGAATCCTGGGATCTTTGTATATCTATGTCTGTGTCATTGTTGTGTCCCTGGGCCCCACTCATCTTCTCGGACCCCACGAGGGAGGCCTTCGCTCAGTACCGGGGCGCGGGGGCCGGTGCCAGAGGAGGGCGAGCTCAAGCAACGGCAGAGTTGGTTTTCGGGGGACCCTCCTTCAATCCTCCTTTCTTCCATCCCGCCTACCTCCTCCTCCTCCTCCTCCTCCTCCTCCTCCTGAGGCACTGACGGCAAGGGAGTCTTCAGACTTTGCCGCTTCCCCCAGGGAGGCCATGTCGGGCCCCCTGGGGGAGTAGACCAAAAGACAAAATCAGGAGCCGAGGCCCCGCAGACAGGAGGAAGAGAGAGGGAGAGGAGCATAAAATCATCACATCATTTCATAACCTCAGAGGAGAAAGGAAGAGGGGGAGATCAGGTGTGGCAGCGTGGCGGCAGTAGTGTGGGACGGCATGAGGCCCGAGGTCCTGTGTTGGGTTCCCCCTCCTTCGGGTCTATTGGCCCCGTTGGGCCAGCGCCCTGGAGGGTGCCGTGGGTCGCCCTCGTCTGAGGTGCCCACAGAGGTCTCCCGCCACGTGAGGTGACGGTTGGAAGGGTCTGCGTGGCGGAGTTGAAAGGGTGGCAGGGTGAAACGAGTTACACTGTCACGAGTGCGCGTGGCAAAGCTCAAAGAGTTAGCGCAGGGAAGTGAAGGTGGCGGGGGCGGGTAAAAAAAAACGTGGCGACGCGGAGAGTGTTCCGCGGGGCCCACTTTGGGGTGCCGTTCGCGGCGGGGAGGGGCCCAAGGGCTTCTCCCTCTGCCCACAGGAAGCCCCTACGTGCGTCCCAGAGGCCGACGGTGGGATCCCTCGCTTGCGAGCAGGCGTAGACATCCCAGCACGTCGGCTTCTTGGCCGCCTTAGGGGTTTCCGCCGAGCGTGAGGGAGGTTGGGGCCCTCCCCCAGTGGTGGCGCGAGGCAGCACTGGCCACGCTCGCCAAGGTAGATGGCAGAAAGGCCTCACCCCCTGCACATAGGAAGCCCCCCCTGAGCAGCCACAGTCCCCACAAATGATACCCTCCCCCGCCGACGCAGGAGTAAGGTACCCTGATCATGGGAGTGGTGGCTGCTTTGGGAGGGTTCAACCGTGCGTGGGGGTGGTTTCTGCCATCTACGGCGGTGGCTCGGTGAGGAAAAGGAGGTGCCCTGCTGGCGGTTGAGGTGGGGATGTACCCTAGCTGGGCAGCCCTGGCGGCTGAGGGTAAGAGGTGCCCCGGTGGCTGCTGATGGTGAGGGTTGAGGTTCGGAAGGGTGCCCTGGTGGCGCCGGAGGGTCGGTGCCCTGATGGCTCGCTGGCCCCAGCCTGAGCAACACTGACGGCTGGGTGGGTGCCCTGGTGGCGACCGCAGCCGCTCTGGCCCTTGCCAGGACGGCCTGCGGTGAGTCCGAGCCCCCTCCCGCTGTATACCGAGCCCTACCCCACCACAAGAGGAGGGGATTGAGGAGGGGTTAGATGGGAAAGGTGGGGGAGGCGGGGCTGCAAGAAGGTGAGCCAGCAGGGAGTGGAGGATGGTAGAGCCATCATACGCTGTGGGTGAGAATGCCTCTCGGGGGCCCACGCGTTTCTTGTAGTAATGGTCTGTGCTCAAGTGGGTGAGAAAGCCCCGTAGGGACCCCCGTTAATCGCAGAGATAGGAGTGGGTATGTAGCCGCTGGCGGTCTTGTCTGCTATGAAGCAGATGAGGCGTGCGCACTGATTGGTCGCCGTTAGGCCGGTCCGATCGCGAGGGTTGCTTCGTGTTGTGGGCGATCACGGGGAGTCTCCTGATGCGCCGTAGTTGGGTCGTGATGGTTGGGCTGGTTCGCTTGGACGACGTCTGCATAGGTCGGCCATGTTTTCCGCGGGTCGGGGCCGTGGAGTGGGAAGTCCTCCTTGTCCGTCTCCTGCTGGTTGCCGTGGTGGATGATGCCGTGGTGTCCGTCTGTGGGTAGGCTGGGACGCTACGGGCTTCCATTCGCGGGGCGTGTGGGATACATCCCGCTCTATAATGTGGTCCGTGATCATGCTGCGGATCGTAGCAGCAGGGTTGGTGTCGTGGGTAATGTGTTGCTGGGTCTAGTGTGGTCCTTGAGGGTACTGTGCGGTGCTGTTCCCTTCGGTTGTGTCCGCGGTGGTCGTGGTCCATTGGGGCTGCACCAAGTTGGCGTTGTTGGTCTGATCCACTGGCTTCGGTCCTGACGTCGGCGGCTGTTGATCCAGGCGGCGAACTGGAAGTGGTGCGGTCCCGAGGTGCGCCTCAGTGGGTTGCAGCAGGGCGAATACAGCGGGTATGTCGGGTCTCGGCTGGCGATTCTGCTGATGCTGTGGTCGTCCTTGGGCAAAGGGATCTGGTTGTTGATGAGCTCGGCCATCTTGACCATTGCCTCGATTCTTTTTTGTAAGTTGGTGACAAGGAACGGCGTCGGCGTGCATGTGGGGGGTTGTGTCGTATGGCTTCCTTGATACCCATGAGGATGTCTCCCTTTTGCTGTACCACCTCTGCTTGCTCAGGGATGTCGTCGTGGTTTTTGTGTTTCGGGTAGTTCAGCATGTTGGCAAGGTAGTAGATGGCATAATTCGCCAGTGGAGGAGGCGTGCGTCCCGCAGCTCGTCGGACACGCGGGTAGCTGTTGAGAGCTGCTTCCACGTACGCTATGACTTGGTCGTATTCGATGCGGAGGTCTGCGTCCGTTGTGATGTCCCTGTTGGCCTCTGCTGTGTTAGCCAGATCGAGCATCTGGTCGGAGTGGCAAGCAAACGCCTCGTAGGTGTGTATATCGGACATCCCGCTCTCGGAAAGAGCGCGTTCTGTGGTCGCTTGGAGGGGGGGGGGAACCGGACCCCCCCCCTCCCTTCCCCCTCCTCCCCTACTTCTCCTCTCTCCCTCTCCTCGGGCTGGCGCCTGCGCGTATGCACCGCCACCAGGTTGGCTGGCCTGGCAGCCTCATAGTTGTTCCTTTGTATTGCTGTCTCTTTGAGGCTTCAATTAGCTCAAGACTGCTGCTTGCGCTTCAAACAACCCGCGTCGAGCTTATGTTCCTCTGGTTTTTCGGCCACTGCACCTGGCATGACAGCACCTTTCGTCTTCCACCACCAATATTCGTAGCCATGTGTTCTTTCATCATGGCGCGTTCGTCTACGTTCGCTCGCAATTGGCACCTCCACCTGCCGACCACGCTTGAGGCCCCTCTGCGCCGCCGACTTGAAAGTGTGTGCGTGTGTGTCTGTGTGTGGTTGTGCTTGTGTTTGTGAGTGTGTTTGTGCGTGTGCTTGTGCTGGTGCCGGTGCTGGTGTTGGTGCTGGTGCTGGTGCTGGTGCTGGTGCTGGTGCTGGTGCTGGTGCTGGTGCTGGTGCTGGTGTTGGTGTTGGTGTTGGTGCTGGTGCTTGTGCTCGTGTTCGTGCTTGGGCTTGTGCTTGTGCTCGTGTTTGAGCTTGTGCTCGTGCTTGTGTTAGTGCTAGTGCGTTCGCTTGTGTTTGTGCCTGTGCTTGTGTTTGTGCTCGTGCTTGTGTTTGCGTGTGTTTGTGTTTTTGTTTGTGCTTGTGTTGGATGTTGTGTCCGTAATTGTCTTTGTCTGTGTTTATGTTTTTGTCTTTATGGTTGTGTTTGGGGTTGGGCGTGGGCGTGGGTGTGTGTGCTTGTGCTTGTGTTTGTGCTTGCGTTTGCGTCTGCATTTCCGTTCGTGTTTGTGTTTGTCTTTGTGTTTGGGTGTGTGTGTGCTGTTGTTTGTGTATGTTTTAGTGGTTGTGGTCGTGGTTGAGGTTGCGGTTGCGGTTGTGGTTGTGGTAGTGGTTGTTGTTGTGCTTGCGTGTGTGGTTGAAGTTGCGGTTGTGGTTGTGGTTGTGGTTGTGTTTGTTCTTATGTGCGTGCGTGTGTCTGACTGCGGCATCCGGCAAAGTTCGGTCGCACGTCACGCCTCCATCCGTGGATTGCGCATGAGGTTCCTCTGCGCCGCTGACTTAAAAGTGTGCGTGGCGTGTGTGTGCGTTGTGTGTGCATGCGTGCGTGTGTTTGTGTGCGTGCGTGCGTGTGTGTGTGTGTGTGTGTGCGTGTGCGTGTTCGTGTGTTTGTGTGTGCGTCAGTGCGTGTGTTTGTGTGCGTGTGCGTGGGTGTGTGTCTGTGTGTTTTTGTGTAGGGGGCGTGTACGTGTGCGCGGGTGTGTGTGTGTGTGTGCTGATGTGTGTGTGTGTGTGCGGATATGTGTGTGGATGTGTGTTTGTGTTGTGCGCGTTTGTGTGTGAATGTGTGTGTGTGTGTTTGAATGTGTGCGTTTGTGTGTGAATGTGTGTGCGTGCGTTTGCGTGTGTATGTGTGTTTGTGCGTGGGTGCGTGCGTGCGTGCGTGCGTGTGTGTGCTTCCCTGCACGCGGCTGCGAGCACTGGAGGGGGGGAGGTGGATAGGGAGCGGGGTGAGCCTGTGGGAGGAGGGGGGCAGGGAGAGGGCACAGTCCAGACAGGAGAAAGGGAGGGTGAGAGCAGACGAAGGAGGGAGTCAGAGGAGAGAGGGGGCGGACGGGGGAGGTCAGAAGAGGGCGGAACTGCGAGGAGGATAACGCCAGGCGACCAGACTTTCGCGCGCCTCCTACTCCACCTCCTCTTCTCCCCCACCTTCTCCGCAGTCTCCCTCTCCTCACCGCCGGTATCACCGCCCAGGAGCCCGAGGTGGTTCTGACGTTGAGATGCAGTTTTCCTTGCGCGTTTTCATGTTCGCGCGCTGCACAGGAAAGAGTGCAGTCCCAGCGGTGGCCTAGTCCTCTGTCAGTGAATCCGCGAGTTTGCCAGAAAAGAACCGCTGGCCATCCGCATTGATGCCGTCGCACTAGTTGTCGCCCCTCTGCCCTCTCTCTCTCTCTCTGTCTATTTGTATGGTTCTCTCTCTCTCTCTCTCTCTCTCCCTTTCTCTCATGATCTCTCTCTCTCTCTCTCTTTCTATGTCTCTTTCTTCCTCCAGCTCGTACTCTTCCTCCTCCTCCCTCCCCCTCTCCCTCCACCGCCCCCTTTTCCTCCTAAACTTCCTCCTCCCGAAGGCCTCCAGATGTCTCAGAAGGGAGCTTTCCAGAGGCGTCCAGAGGCTTTTGGGAGACTGGTCGGAAGCGTCCAACAATTTGAATCCTAGACATTCCTCGTCCTCCCGCTCCCCCGCTTCCTCCTTCTTTTCCAGGTTCTGATCCACTCCCGAATCATCCTCTTTCTCCTCCCCATGGTCTCGAGAGGTGGGTCCTTCGAGGCGTCCAGAGGCTTCCACTGAGAGTCAAAAACGTTCAGACACGTCAGTCCTCGGCCCTCCTCTTGTTCCTCCTCCTCCTCCTCCTCCTCCTCCTCCTCCTCCTCCTCCTCCTCCTTCCTCCTCCTCCTCCTCCTCCTCCTCCTCTTCGCTTGCCCTCCATGTGTACCGCTCGGGGGCTCCTCACTGTACCCACCCCATCATTTCCCTACCCACCCGTCCTCTTCCATCCCTCCTGATGAGTGGCCCTTCCTCGTCGCACCGCTGGACGTGCTGGTAGGGCGGGCGGGGGTGGTCGCCACAGACTTCCTCACCTCTGATGATCCTGAAGTTTGAAGTGTCTCACAATTGCAGCACGATACACGGATGGAGGATGGTTACATGTTCAAGCATCGTTCACGTTTTGTCGCCCCGTCATTCGTTGTGATAGTTTCCAGCACAACAAAGAGATGACGGGCATGCCGTGTTAGAAATGTGTCCCTTGCCTTAGCGTTGCCTACTGTCGTCTTCTAAGCTTAGATACAATAATGTATGGGAAAATGCTTTCACGAGTGGGCCCTCGCCTTAGCGTAGCGCCCATGCGCCTTGAAAGCTTCCAACAGGCACAAGGATGGAGGTCGTGGCTCTTCAACATGGGGCTCTCGTTCGAGACTTCTCCGGGTCTTAAGTTCAGACGGCAAAGCTGTGCATCAGCTACACCGGCGCCAGACGGCTCATGCCATATTTGGCACGTCCGCTTCGTATTGCCTCAAAACCGATGGCCAGGCGTATATATTTTTGCACCAGTTACACCAATCGATGTAGGTTCTTACTCAAAGGGGTGCCCAACTAGTATGGTTGCCATATCGAAGTGGCCATGGGCTTGTCGAAATCCAAGAGAAGGGGACTCCAAACGATCGCGTCCTTGAGGCGTCCCCGCACTCTGGGCGCGAACGGGCCAGAGTCTTCCCCCCTGGCGGGTCCCCCCTTGGGGTGCCCTAGTTCCACGCTGATTGTATCGCGACGGGCCTGGGCGAATACGGGTACGAGGGGCGAGCGCGAGTGGGCTTGAGCAGAGGTGCCAAACGCGTGGGGTTTGTCTGAGTGTGAGCTTGAGTATGAGCGAGTCTGCACATGAGTCATCCGAGTGTGAGCGGCCTGTGCGTATGGGCCTGGGTATGGCTCAGCTGAGCATGACTGGATCTGAATGTGAGCGGGTTGGGTATGAGCACGTCTTAGTACGAGTGGGTCTGAGCATCAGCGGATATCAGCGTGCGTGGTCTGAGTATGAGTGACATCAGGATGATGAATCTGGGCGTGACTGGGTATGAGTCGAATGTGTTATATGTACCATTGGATCTGTCTGAGTGTGCGTGGGTCTCAGCATAACGGAGTTACAAGAGTGAATGAGTCTAAGAGCGAGTGGGTTTGAAAGCGGGCGGGTCTACGTGGGAGTAATAGAGTTCGAGTGGGACCAGGGACCAGAGAGGAATAGGAGGAGGAGGGGGGGAGAGCGAAGCGGAGACATCACACTGACAGCAAGAACCTCGACCTTAGGATGTGGGGAATCACTGTGGTCAGCTTCTTCGGGCATGGGGCGCCCCCCGTGGCCCGAGTGGGCAGCGTTCGGGTCACCTCGGGTGGTACTGCGGCCGCCTTGAGGCCGCACCGAGCCACCTCGAGGGCATGGTTTGCCGTCGTGGCGGTCTGGGTTGCTTGCCCAGGCCGTGCCGAAAGAGCTGACGTTCGGATACGCAGCTCCCGAGCCTCCCGTGTGCCGGTGCTTCGTCACGAGTAGGGCACTGTGGCCTCCAAGCTATTCCTTCCCCTCCTCCTCCTCCCCGTCCTCCCCCTCTCGTGCTCCCTCGGGCTCGCTCCGGGGGGGAGGGGGCTGCGGGGGGGGCTGCGAAGTGCGCTATGGTCGCCACGTTCGTGGTCTCCTAGAAGGCACGGCGGAGTACAGAGCGGCAGATCCACTTGAGAGTTCGCAGTTCCCTCGAGGGCTGCGAAGCGCGCAACTGTCGCACCGTCCGTCGGTCCGTGGGAGGCACGGCGGCGTTAAGGGCCACGCAGATCCATATGAGACATCGCGGCTCCCTCGGGGGCTGCTACGTACGCAATTGTCGCCACGTTCGTGGGCACTTGGGGGGTACGGCGGAGTACAGGGCCACGCAGATCCACTTGAGACCTCGCGGCTCCTTCGGAGGCTACGAGGTGCGCAATTGTCGCCACGTTCGTGGGCATTTGGGGGGTACGGCGGAGTACAGGGCAGCGCAGATCCATGTGAGACCTCGTGGCTCCCTCGGAGGCTACGAGGTGCGCAAGTGTCGCCACGTTCGTGGGCATGTTGGGGGGGTACGGCGGAGTACAGGGCAGCGGAGATCCATGTGAGACCTCGTGGCTCCCTCGGAGGCTACGAGGTGCGCAAACTGTCGCCACGTTCGTGGGCACTTGGGGGGTACGGCGGAGTACAGGGCAGCACATATCCACTTGAGACATCGTGGCTCCCTCGGAGGCTACGAGGTGCGCAATTGTCGCCACGTTCGTGGGCACTTGGGGGGTACGGCGGAGTACAGGGCAGCGCAGATCCATGTGAGATGTCGCGGCTCCCTCGGAGGCTACGAGGTGCGCAATTGTCGCCACGTTCGTGGGCACTTGGGGGGTAAGGCGGAGTACAGGGCAGCGCAGATCCATGTGAGACATCGCGGTTCCCTCGGAGGTTACGAGGTGCGCAATTGTCGCCACGGTCGTGGGCATTTTGGGGGGGTACGGCGGAGTACAGGGCAGCGCAGATCCATGTGAGCCCTCGTGGCTCCCTCGGAGGTTACGAGGTGCACAATTTTCGCCACGTTCGTGGGCACTTGGGGGGTACGGCGGAGTACAGGGCAGCGCAGATCCATGTGAGACCTCGTGGCTCCCTCGGAGGCTACGAGGTTCACAATTGTCGCCACGTTCGTGGGCACATGGGGGGTACGGCGGAGTACAGGGCAGCGCAGATCCATGTGAGACCTCGTGGCTACCTCGGAGGCTACGAAGTGCGCAAGTGTCGCCACGTTCGTGGGCACATGGGGGGTACCGCGGAGTACAGGGCAGCGCAGATCCATGTGAGACATCGCGGCGCCTTCGGAGGCTACCAAGTGCGCAAGTGTCGCCACGTTCGTGGGCACGTGGGGGGTACGGCGGAGTACAGGGCAGCTCAGATCCATGTGAGACATCGCGGCTCCCTCAGAGGCTACGAATGCGCAATTGTCGCCACGTGCGTGGGCACTTGGGGGTACGGCGGAGTACAGGGCAGGGCAAATTCACGTGAGACTTCGTGGCTTCCTCGGAGGCTACGAAGTGCGCAATTGTCGCCACGTTCGTGGGCACTTGGGGGGTACGGCGGAGTACAGGGCAGCGCAGATCCAGTTGACACCTCGTGGCTTCCTCGGAGGCCACGAGGTGCGCAAATTGTCGCCACGTTCGTGGGCACTTGGGGGGTACGGCGGAGTACAGGGCAGCGCAGTTCCATGTGAGGCCTCGTGGCTCCCTCGGAGGCTACGGAGTGCGCAATTGTCGCCACGTTCGTGGGCACTTGGGGGTACGGCGAAGTACAGGGCAGCGCAGATCCATGTGAGACATCGCCGCCCCTTCGGAGGCTACGAAGTGCGCAATTGTCGCCACGTTCGTGGGCATTTGGGGGTACGGCGGAGTACAAGGCAGCGCAGATCCATGTGAGCCCTCGTGGCTCCCTCGGAGGTTACGAGGTGCACAATTGTCGCCACGTTCGTGGGCACTTGGGGGGTACGGCGGAGTACAGGGCAGCGCAGATCCATGTGAGACATCGTGGAGGCTACCCTCGCCAGTTGCACAATTGTCGCCACGTTGTCGCCACGTTCGGGGCATTTGGGGGGTAAGGCGGAGTACAGGGCAGCGCAGATCCATGTGAGACCTCGTGGCTCCCTCGGAGACTACGAAGTGCGCAATTGTCGCCACGTTCGTGGGCACTTGGGGGGTACGGCGGAGTACAGGGCAGCGCAGTTCCATGTGAGGCCTCGTGGCTCCCTCGGAGGCTACGGAGTGCGCAATTTTCGCCACGTTCGTGGGCACTTGGGGGGTACGGTGGAGTACAGGGCAGCGCAGATCCATGTGAGACCTTGTGGCTCCCTCGGAGGCTACGAAGTGCGCAATTGTCGCCACGTTCGTGGGCACTTGGGGGGTACGGCGGAGTACAGGGCAGCGCAGATCCATGTGAGACCGTGTGGTCTCTCGGAGGCTATGAAGTGCGCAATTGTCGCCACGTTCGTGGGCGATTGGGGGTACGGCGGAGTACAGGGCAGCGCAGATCCATGTGAGACCTCGTGGCTCCCTCGGAGGCTACGAGGTGCGCAATTGTCGCCACGTTCGTGGGCACGTGGGGGGTACGGCGGAGTACAGGGCAGCGCAGATCCATGTGAGACCTCGTGGCTCCCTCGGAGGCTACGAGGTGCGCAATTGTCGCCACGTTCGTGGGCACTTGGGGGGTACGGCGGAGTACAGGGCAGCGCAGATCCATGTGAGACCTCGTGGCTCCCTCGGAGGCTACGAAGTGCGCAATTGTCG